GATAGGTAGATGGATGGATGGATGGATGGATAGATGGATAAGATAGATAGATAGGATGGATGATGATGGATGGATAGATAGGTAGATAGGTAGATGGATAGATAGGTAGATGGATAGATAGATAGGTAGATGGATGGATGGATGGATAGATAGATAGGTAGATGGATGGATGGATGGATGGATAGATGGATAGATGGATAGATAGATAGATAGGTAGATAGATAGGTAGATAGATAGATAGATAGATAGATAGGTAGATGGATAGATAGATAGGTAGATGGATAGATAGGTAGATAGATAGGTAGATAGATAGATAGATAGTTAGATGGATAGATAGGTAGATAGATAGATAGATAGTTAGATGGATAGATAGGTAGATAGATAGATAGGTAGATGGATAGGTAGATGGATGGATGGATGGATGGATAGATGGATAAGATAGATAGATAGGATGGATGATGATGGATGTATAGATAGGTAGATAGGTAGATGGATAGATAGGTAGATAGATGGATGGATAGATAGATAGATAGGTAGATGGATAGATAGGTAGATGGATAGATAGGTAGATGGATAGATAGATAGGTAGATGGATAGACAGCCTCCAATGTTTAGAACCTGTTTTTGACCTGTAATATAAGTGATTCCTGAAAAGGTCTGAAAATGATTTCAGATTTCCTAAATAAAATACATAAGGTCAGCACGATTTCAGATTTCCTAAATAAAATACATTAAAAAAAAAAAATCAAAATTGTAATAATGTATACATAGGGATTGGTGTATTACCGGCGTTTGTTTCTGAAGACTCTCAACTTTTTCCTGGAGGTTACAAAGCAAAGTGTTGCTCTCGTGCTGCACAGCAGCTAGAGTCTGCTCCCTCTTTCGCCACATCTTTCTCTCTTCGTCGATCTTCTTTTGCAGACAATTGTTCTCCTCCAGCACCACGCGCAAATCCTAGAGCGAGCAAATGATACAGAGGTATAAGCTCAAAAACAAAAATGTGGAAAATCATATATAGATACAAGTAAATTTGTGTGTATTACATGAATTGTGTCTTGGTTAGACTGGATCACAATGGTGAGTGTGTCGAGGTCCTTTTCCCTGTCACTGGCTGCCTTCTTCAACGCCTCAATCTCTTTTCTCTTTCTCTTTTCTTTGTCACTCATTTCGAACCTTAAAGACTTCAAGGCAGCCTGAAAAGCACCAAGGAAATCATTCAAAATTCAAAACATGTATTATAGCAATAACAAACATGACTGCATTCAATTGATAGATTCGCTATAACAAGCAAATGACAAGGTGTCCATTTGTCCAAAGCTAAGTGAGCGTTTAAATATTAGAAGCTCTTACCTCCGTACTGGAAAGAATGTTGTTAAGATTCTCTGTGATTTTCTCAGTCGGGCCATTTTCCAGCTCATTGGTCACTGCACCCTCCAGGTACAGTCTTTTAATCAACCCCATACATTCCTACATTGAAAAAAGACATTGGTTTGCTTCATGAGACAAAGCACACGATCCTGTTGAAGCTTATCTTAGGCAAAGTGGGGAGGTTTCACTTTTTTTTTAAGACATCTAGAGAGATGTCATAAAAGTTTATAGGAACCAAATACCGTAATATAAGCCGCTAGCGCTAGCGATAATTGAATAATTTCCGGACTATAAGCCGCTAGCGCTAGCGATAATTGACTTTTCTGGTGGGCTACTTTAAAACGGCTACTTTAAAACGCTGTTTATGTTCTGTTGTGCTCGGTGCGGCTGATAATAAAGACTTCCAGAAACTTCCCTGTTTCTGTTTTACCTCTGCTGCGGACAGGGCACAAAGTGAAGGGAGTTAGCCCCGGAGCTAATGTTAGCTTCACTAAGTAGATCGCTAAGTCTCCCCTGAACATTCCAACCACGGTCGGGGCGCCGTGGCAGGAAAGAGCTAACGTGTAACCCGCCGTGTTACAGGCACTGTTAGGGAAAAAAAGCATTTATTTAATTAAAAGTGAAAAAAAAAAAAACTTTCTGCGTAACATCATTCTGTGTAAATACTCCATATTACAAAGTGGACACCTGCGGCTTATAGAGAAGTGCGGCCTATATACAATTATTTCTTTCTTAAATTTAGTGGGTGCGGTTTATAGTCAGTAGCCTGGGAATTACGATGTTTTATTTGTGTGTATAATGTGAAAAGGGGTGACAAATGTAGAGGTCAAACACAAATGCAAGTAAGACAAAGCTTGAGGTTTGTTTGATGCAAGAGTAGAACTGCAGCTGCACAGTATTGTATTTAAAATCTAGTTTTCACTAGATGCTACAACTGCAGCCGAGACCAGTTTTAAGAATACAAAAAAGCTGCACTTAAATATTTCAAGATTTTTTTTGTTCACTTTAGTGATGGGTTAAAAGCAGAGGTCACATTTGGTTCACCCTGTCTTCCTTTCTCTCTAACAAAGGAAAACAACAGAGTTGCTGCCACCTAGTGGATGGAAACTTCCATTGGAAGCCCCTCACGCCCACGCTGGCATCTCAACCTGCATTGATCTTCACCGTGCACATGAAATTCTGTGTTTTATTACCCTTACGTACCTGTATTAAACGCTCCCGACAATGCAGTGAGAAAGCAAAGCTCTGGAGCAGAACATCTTGAGAGTCCACCTGAGGCAACTAAAGGAAACGGAAAAGAGAACAAACAAACAACAAAAATGATGCATTTGAAGTACCAGGTAGTTGTTAAGCCAAGGTTTAACCTCCGTATTGTCCTTTTGGTCTAGTTGACCCGGTGGCTGATAATGATTTTTTTTGGGAAGGAAATGTACTCTATTCTTCCTCCTGTAATTAAATAGATAAGAATATTAAAGTATATTATCTTCTTTATTCATAGTAAATCAGGTATTATTGTAGTAGTATAATAACTGACGTGATATGTAGCATGCACAGTAAATTGAAATTGAAACACATGTATATGTTTGCAGTTAAGAAGACCTGTTCATGTATTTTTCTTTTATAGAAATTAAAACAGCTTTGTAAAAAAAAACGGTCAATATTCACACTTGGGTGACAAATAGATTTGTGGGAGAGATTTACGAGACACAGTGGAGGTAAAGAGATGTTGGTTTATCAACTAGCCACATAGTTTCGTAACATTCAACCAATGGTCCCACCAACCCGGACAATTTGTATTAGGCCACATGCAGAGAATGCATTTGACTTTATTAATTGATCATTAATGTGACCTTTTATTTTACAATTGTTATTTTGTGTTATTTAATCACTTTAGAATTGTTAATAAAAGAGACATTTGTGCAGTCTAACACAGAGCATTTTTCAGATCCAGAAGAAGAAACAACCAGTATCTGCTACTCCTGTACCACTGAAAATGTACGTTTGTTATTTTCACACTGACAGCCGCTAGAGGGCAATCTAGGCTTTTGTGTACCAGTATCCGCTACACCTGTACCAATGAAAATGTAAAAATGTTTGTTACTTTCACACTGACAGCCGCTAGAGGGCAATCTAGGCTTTTGTGTACCTGTTTCTGCTACTCCTGTACCACTGTACACTTACATGTTCGTTATTTTCCATACTGTGACATATTAATAATTTCGTCCTAAATTCGTCTAATTTTTTGACCATTTATTTACCCATTCTTAATAGACATGATCTTTTGTTTTTAAGAGTCCAGTAGAGAGCTCAGGCTACGTGGCCTGTAAAAACCCAGGTGAAGGCCGTAAGGCAGATTTCTCTCACCCTGGCAACAGATGATGGCTGCAATATGATTGGATTAACTTGAACTCGAACGCAAATATACACGTCTGGAAGTAGTACAACCGAGAGAAAAGTTATGAAATGATGAAAATGGACTTTTTGGTATTTATTTTCTAAACATGATCAAATATATTGTAAAATAAGTCATAGATTTTAAAGTCAAAGGGCATTCCATTCATTTAATTATAGTTTAATATTTAAATGGATAGGTAGTCTTAACTCTGATTTACTGTAAAAGTAAAGCGTAACGCAGCGTATTGTCCAATGAGGTAAATGTGTAACAAGAGACTGGCAAAAAATGTTGAAGGTGGTGTAAAATGAATATCTGATAATAATATTGCAAAGGAGGAGACAAACATTTACATTTAAAATGTGTGTTTTTGGGGGATGCAAATACTGTATGTTCTTATGAACCAAAGCCGCCATGTACATTATTAGCACATTGTTATGGCAAAAGTCTTGTGACAAGAAGTTTGCAGAAAGTCCGTGCCTTAGTGTGTGCCTGTAAATATGTAAAGGTGGACACACCCTGCCACTGGCAGAGCACAGTACCCTGCCTGCATTCCTTTTAAATGTCTAAACTGTGACTGCGCAACTCTTCTTTTAAAAGCGTCAGACCGTCCTGTTTGGACGCGTGACTTGGAGTTGCAACCATCTAACAAGCCTGTATTTCCAGCATAAAAAAAAAAACAGTAAAAGCAAAAGTCGTATGATACAGAACTCTTCTTTCCTTTAAGAACTAAAAAAAGCTCAAAAAACAACAGTCATAATAGGCACCCCAATATATAACCTTTTTAGTTTCTGGTTTTCAGTCCAAGCTTGTTTGTGTCTTACATTGTGAACTCTCTTTTAATGTAGCGTTTCTATTTTAAAACTAGTATCTATTGGTTTTGAAGTTATTGTGAGAGCAATTCATTTATTTCTTTTACTTTTTTCCTACAGCAAATAGCTGGAACTAGATCGTTTCTTGCATCCTAAAAAATATTATATATTGTATAGAAATTATATTAGAATAAGAAATTATCTTAATTTTACATTAACAGTGGTCTGTGTTTCAACCGATGATGGCAAAGCTATTGAAAAAAGAATATTTTTGTAAGGCTAAGACAGAAAAGGGTTAGGTGCTTCTAGACCAGTGTTCAACCTGGAATATATATTCACATGGGGTTAAATGTCTAGTAATTTAGAATAGAATACCTGACAAGTTGAAACTGAAGCAAGGTAATACTTCTAATACTAATCTTTCAAATATTATCTGTGGCCAGTTGAAGATGCTGCAGTAGCTCTTTTTTTTTATATATATAATTTATAGACTAAAATGTCACTTTGCACACTAATCTGTCTGCTCTGTATTTGCAACACGGTACAAAAAAAAATATTCAAAAACTAACTAAGGGAAAAATTGTCTCTGGGGTTGACAGGTTTGTGTGATGTCAAAATGCCAAATATGTTCTCAAATATATATGTATATATGTATATGTATATGTATAATATATATAATGTAAAATATATGTATATGTATGATATATGTATATATGTATATGTATATGTATAATATATATAATGTAAATATATATGTATAATATATATAATGTAAATATATATGTATATATGTATATATATGTATATATATGTAAATATATATGTATATGTAAGTATAATGTTAATATATGTATATATGTTGTATGTTCACATAAAAGAAGGTAAAAAAAAAAAATACAAATGCTGTTAATTAAAAGTTCCTTATACAATTAGCCCTCATAAAGTAGGTCCATTGATGGTTATGGTTGGCACCAAGTTTGTATAATTCCATTAATGCTACTTAAATTAAACACTACAGGAAGAAATGCAACATTTGTGGGTAATTGGTAGTTAAAAAATTAACTCTGATTCTCCTAAAATGAGGGGTCTTACGGCCCACGGGCCAAAACCAGCGTGCTAGGAAGTTCAATCCAGCCTGCTTGATGTATTTGGAAAGTGGAAAAATCACCATGTACCTCACCATGCCAGCCCCACTATTTGAGAAGTACTGTATGACGGTAACAATATTGGGTCCTAAAATCATCTCATCTCATCACTCTCAAACAATAAGTAAAAAAAAGTACCTTGATTTACTGACTTACATTTTCCTTGTCTGATGTTTTGATATAAGCAGTACGTTTGCCCGTTTGATTTTTCAGCTCCGCCTCCAGAGTCTCAACGTGGGTCACGGCTTCATTTAGCTGGCCTCGCAGGTGCCCGACAGCATGCTGTAATCTGCCTGTGTTGCTCTGTGACAACGACCAATATGAAAGAAAAATACACATAAGCTCAGTGACTCAATAAAATGAAATGTATGACTGTTTTACTGATGGGCCGGCCTTGGTAACACCTGCTCTAATTTATAAAGCTCACTTCACTGTCGACATTTACAGTCGCTGTGTCCGGCAGAACATCTGCTCTGGAAGTTAATATTACTCTCAGTATACCGGGCTACTGCTTGTACTTGTATTTGACTGGCAATTATTAAAAAGGCCCCTTAGAAAAAAAGAAAATATACTCTTCAGAACCCTTTAAAATGCAAGGTTGGTTTTCTACACCTTGTCCATATGTTTATAATATTAGCTATTATTAGAGATACATTTAATTATCTTATTAGAAAAACCTAACTTTGAGCTTTAGCTAGCTTTACTCCAGGTTTGTTGTTGGGTTTTATGCTAAATAATACTGTTTTATTTATATCGATGCCACATGAATACATTATTTTTCAGTTAAGAAAGAAGCCAAAATGATTCACCTTTGTGTAAAGAGGCATGAACTCTTCATTCAGCTCTGTAAGGAGATCACCATCCTGGTCATTTACATCACCCTCTCCATTCTGAAGATCCTCAAAAGTCAGTTGTCTGGCTACTGCCGATGATGTCATATCACCAGAGCATCTCTCATCCTTCTTGCCCAATACGGGGATCCTACTTCCTGACGGAGAACTAAGGGGTTTCCACTTTAAACACCTTAGCTTATTCAGCACAAAGTTGACGGACTGGTCGCTTGCAGGGTCAAATGGGTCAAAAGCTTCAAGAGAGTCTAGAGACTGAACGGACCCAGTGCAGGATGCCGCTTGTAAGGACAGCTGGGATCCTGTCAGCGAAGCTAGGCTACAGCTGGTTGATGGCGTCCCCTTCCAGTGCAGAGGCATGCTCTGGGATTTGTCCCGTGACAACAGCAACTTGTAGGTTTGGGATGGCAAGTGGCGCGGTATGCCACATACAGACTCATAAACTGAGTCGGACACCCGTAATGCATCGCAGCCCTCACATCCTTTGCCTTTGCGGCATCTTTTACCTGTTTTTATGAAGTGTGGACACATGTCCCACTTGTCGGACCAGAACTCGTACTTAGAGAGTGCCATATTCTCTTCTAGCATTTCCCTGTAGCCTTCTTTCTCCACGTGCCCCTCCTCTTCTCTGTTGATGGTAGCCCAAAGATGAACATCCTCTAGGTGTCTCTGCTGGTAGTTCTGGCGCAACCACTGTCTTATTTTGTCTCTCTCCTGTGTCAGCTTATGAAGCTTCTCGGCGGAAAGCACCTTCACTCTTGCAATGACAGAGTCAAACTTAAACACCTTCTCCAGGAGGCTGACACACTTTCCACACACAAACTCCCCGTGCTCGCTGTCTCGTGGTACAGGTCGTCCCAGAATGTGGGTCAACACTGAGAGCAGATCAACTCCCTTGGACGTGGAGCTCAACGACGACTGGGACTTGGAGAGTGAGGAAAAGCTACCCAAAGATAATGTGCTACCTGTAAAAATGAGAAATACATAAGATTTTTTTGACAAATAAAAGGTTGTTAGCTAAAATAAATAATTGCAATAGTCTTTTGAATGCCTATTTTAGTTGCTGGTTGTTCACCTGAACCATAAACAGGACTTGACTACAAACACTGAAGTCCTGTATAAAAAGTTGTCTCCACTCCTTTGGAGTTTGTAGGACAAATTTTTCCAAATTATACAAATAATTATTTATATTATCATTATTCTTCTGCCTTTTCCCTGCAATACCCACATTTCCCCAACAGATGGCGTAGAAAACGATAAAATCATTTTAGCCTTTATGCATGACTTTTACATGTCATTTATCTTAGTTCACACGAACGCTCCAGCTATCTGCTCCCGGACAATAGTGGCCAGCAAGTCAAAAAGTTTGCCCATGCATAGGTTAGGTACTCATAGAAAAGCAAATATTTGTACATGTTTTTATACTGAATCTGAATCTGACTCTGATAAGGTATATGCGTAAATATTTTCTTTATTTTTCTCACGTATCAATCTCACCCCATGGGCTGCTCTGTGAGGAATCCCCTGCTCCATGTGAGTCTGACTGAGTCTGACCCATCTTCTTGGTTTTGTTTCCAAACAGCCATCGCCGTTGTGTGCCTTGAAGAGTATGGCCACATATCCGACACAGGTCATTTTTACCTTTGGATGACATTCTGGATGGCCAGGTGTGATGATTCCTGATTTATGAAACCAATGTCTCTGTGAATGAATGCAGAAAACAGCAAAAACCTTTAAGGAAAGTATATCACCTTTCACATGTAGCAGTAACAGCAGCTTCATGAGAAATGTTTTATAATGGTACCTTTTTTGTTTTTGCAAATTGGGGTCAGATCTGTCAGTGTTTTACATGCGCAGCACATACGTAGTTAACAGTAAGTATGCAGTTTTGCATATCCCAACATTATAGTATTTTGTGTTTGTCATTATGCAGCATGTAGTTCCTCTTATTACAGGTGACCAATTGCAAATTTTAAGCTGATTATGATTTTTTGACAAGGGTGACTTGTGGATGCTGTTTTGTTTTTTTGTTTGTTTTTTTTGTCGATTACATCATCATTTTTAAAAATTCACAAATAGCATTCAGCATTCAAAAATAAAAGATGTTCTGCAGCCCAACATTTTTATTCTCATCAAGTGATTATGAAACATTTCCCACAAAACTGAACTCACTACTCAGTTCAACAACTTTTAAATAATAAATAATTTTATAAATATATAACTTAATAATGTAATGTATTGCTTGTAATGCTTGAATGATAACAAGCCTCCAGTCACTAGCAACTCATACAGTGGTTTGTACAAAAATATACATGTTTTCAGGTTCTCAATAGTATTTCTATTGAGAACCTATGACAGAGAATAATTGAGAACCACTGACTAAGAGGCACGTCAGCAAACAACACGATATGCAGAACACGACGCCACAACAAAAATCCAGGTTAGTAACTAAATCCAGTTAGTAACCACTAACCTAACAGACATTTACGAAGTATTACAAAAACAAAGCAGACTTTTGTGGAGATAAATAAGAGCGGTGTCACATAAAAAAAAAAAAAGAACGATTGCAGGTTCAGCGAAATTAAGAAAATCTGTGCCAATCAATCGGTCAGCCAAGAAGAACAAGAAGAACAAGAAGACCCACCGCCTTAATGAATAAACTCTTTTTTTTAAAAAATATTACTATTAAACTACTACTATTAACTATTAAACGATTAAAAAGTTATCTAAAAAATAAAATGTATCTCAACCACTGCTCACAGAGCTAGTGCTAACTAGTCTATGTTTTGTCTATTGTCATAATCCATATGTTTCCCCTTTGTTTTCATAAACAGAAGTACAAGTATATTGGACAAATATACTTAATAATTAATAAAACATAATTTTTGGTGTATTTTTTATTTTTAAAATGTATCAAGCGGGCCACGTGTGGCCCGCGGGCCGTATATTTGGAACCCCACCATGGACTTCGGTCATGTGAAACTAAACGATTTCAGTAGAACGAACTGAAGCTCAGCGCTGCAGCTACAGAGTTTCAAGCACAGAGTGCGTTGGTATGTGTCATGTGTTAAAAACTAAATCAATACTGTACTGAATTAAAATAAACTCGCCTTGAGATTTTCTCCGTTTCGCTGCGGCTGCTTCTCGTCGCACGCCAGGTACATGACACGTCGTCTTTGAGCCACGATGTCGGTGTCACGGAAGGTGGGGCTCACAAATCATTTTAATATTTTTTTTAACCTCCTTTTTTAATTACGTACGTCGTGTTTAAAACTTGGCCACTTAAGATTTAGCAGTAGGTTTTAGTTTAGTTTTCATCAAACTTCATGAGCCATTTAGCAGTAGTTTTTAGTTTAGTTTTCATCAAACTTCATCCATTGCGACGTCAACTCAGTGTTGAATTTGGCCAAAGATATCGAAATTAATTCTGTTAGCGTAGAGCAAAGTCAAATGTTACGCCTAGAGAAAATAAAAAATAAACCGCCAAGTTTACGCGAGTGCCTAGAGAAAATAAAAAATAAATCGCCAAGTTTACGCGAGCTAAATTTCAGCTTTTCACTGTGGGAGTGACGTCATGACATGTCCTGTTCTGCCAGACCCTGACAAACGTTTAACATAGGCTACAGTTATTCTGCACACGTCATGCAGTTACGTCTATGGACTTACGTTTCAGGTTCATACGCTGGAAATGTATTCGACAAAAAAGACCAACATCCAGAGTCTCAAAGTTCGATAGGAAAATCCTCACTCCTGAAGTTAACGCATGAATTTACAATGTCAACTTTCCCCTCGACGGGAAGTAAAATGAAGAAGAGTGCAGAAGTGGGTGTCACCTTGTGACGTAATAACTCATACCTGTTAGAGTAAATATGCGTGAAACCAAGAGATATGTCTGTCCCCGGAAGAGTTCTTCTGTCTAAAGCAGACGGTCTACCCCGTTTTGTGAATCAATCTTTATCGCTATTAATTATAATTGTAATGAATCGGCCACACATTTAACAAAACTTTTAAAAGTTTCATTTTGAAGAACAAATCACATAAGCTTAAGAAAGGTGTTCTTTCAAGGTTAAGTAGGTTTAAAAAGTGCCTCATAAAACCTGACTAAATGTGGTTCATTTTCCTTATATTTAATACAATTACCTGTCTATCTTTTCTTTTGAGATGTAATTTTTTTTACCTAATAGACTATGAATTAAACTGTCAAAATGTCATCAGTAACCCTTTTTAGTTGGAAGACGTCTTTTGTCCACAATCTCCCTCCTCATATGGCTCTTCTGTAATAATAATAGTAATATTCTTATTAGACACAAAATCTTTATTTTATCGTACGTTTTGAAAAAGACATCAATCGTCCTTTATCTCTGATAAAAAACTGGTAATACCTCTGACTGACCACTGTCTGTGCTTGTAACTCTCTTTCTTCATTTTCTTAACAGTGTATCATACTCTTTACTCCCTATACTTCCGTATTTTGACTTTGTATTTACCTAAACACGTATTTTTGTATACTAAAGTGTATAAAATGTACACTTTGATTGTTCTATATACTTCGTTAATTAAAAGAAAAATTAAGATGCCTGAAAAAAATAATTCTCATTTAAATAATTATTCATTTATTATTATTTTATTTCATGTCTAAACTAAAGTGCATTCAGGCATTTTGTGAATTTTGAGTATTTTAATACTTGAATAGGCCAAACTGTTTTTTTGTTTTGTAATAATTCAAAGATTATTTGAATTTACGCAAGACAAAGCTAATGACAAATATAGATATGTTGAAACCACATTTCACTAACTTAAATAAATATTTCCCAGCCCTAGGTATTAAGACTTGACTTATTTGTTCTTTGCGTTGGAGTCTCATTGCTTAAGCTAATAGCTACCAGGTACACTGGCTTATAGTATCAACTGTAACTGTCAGACAAGGTCGTACATCTAAATGTGATGCCATTTTAGCAAGCACAGTCATTTAAATACACGACAAAACACACCCAACAATATATATTATATAAATATTTACAAAAAGAAGAAGGAATATTAAAACGCCAATTAAATATATACAAAAAGAAGAAGGAATATTAAAACGGGTTGTAGCAAGAAAAAAAAACCCTGATAACGTAAATTTACTTCTATAGCTCCCTTCCATATGCTTGAAAATAGTTCTTCCATGAGTGGCCACAAGGTGCTGCAAGCACACTACTTCGACTCAACCACTCTTCTTCTTCGTTCAGTTTCTAGTGACGTGTTTCCGTGTGCGACTTTAGTTGCCTGTCAGCCAACGTGAAAGTCTGCGATTATCTTTTGATGAGAGAAAAATAAATATAAGTATGTGTATATCAATATATATTTATGTATTTCTCTTACCTTCTGCCGAAGTTTTAAACTCTGATTAGTTGCATTCTTCACACAGCTTCCAACTGCTGAATAATTGACAGCAGTGTGAGGGGATTTTTAAAACAACAAAAACGGTAAGTAGTGTGTTTTTGTTGCGTTTAACGCTTTTAATGGCTCAGTAAGGCGAAGTAATCTATTCGCAATATCTAGCAACGTATCAGACAAACACCAAGGAAGTCTAAAAGTTGCACTCAAAGACATTTTAAGTGAGAGTTTTTGTCGTTTTATATGCTATTGAAATTACGGGAGTACTGCTTATAAAATCTATTTGCCATTTAGCGTTTGTGTTTTGTTATTATTAATATAAATATTGTTGGATTGTTGTAAGGCTAATACTAATGCCCAAGAAAAGCTCAAAATTACACTTTAAGGAAGTGTAATTTCACTGTTTGCTGTAGGAGAAGAGTGAAAATATTAGGGCCCTATTAGGAAAATATTAGGCTGAGCTAAACGCGTATTAACCCTTAATCTTGGTTTGTAAATGGTTTCGCTCTTATTCTGTTAAATATGGTCTTTCAAGCAACTGTTGCTAACAGAATCAGTGCTGGCTTGAAGATTATTGATTATTTGTTTTTTGGGATTCTGTGACCAGTTAAGGAAGTCAAGTTATGTACTTCTGAAATAAAACAAATTACGATAGGATGCTACATGTAGTCCGTAAGAACGATTATTTGTTTGTTGGGATTCTGTGACCAGTTAAGGAAGTCAAGTTATGTACTTCTGAAATAAAACAAATTAAGATAGGATGCTACATGTAGTCCGTAAGAACATGACACAGGTATGTCTTTTGATGGAAAGAGATTAATGAAGTTTTGTCTTGACTGTCACCTCCACAGGCACAATGGCCAATCTAGAACAGTGGGTCAACGACCGCCTCCATGACATCCTGGGTTTAAGTGACCGATATGTTTCTCAGTTCATGATTGGAACTGCAAGGAAAGCGCAGAGTGCCGAAGATTTTGTGTCTCGCATACAGCAGACTGGGACCATTGACATCAACCCAAGTGTGATTGTGTTTGCTCAGGACCTCTTCAACAAGGTATAGGTTTTCATTGTTGTCCAGCATACATGATTCTTTTTCCAGAATATATGCACTACAGAGCAAAAACAGGACCATATCTGTTAATAAATTTCATTTTATTTTAGACACACTGTTTAAAGGTCACAACAAATTCAAATTTTCTCCCACTGCGGGAAGAGTTTTTGTTTCACCCAAAGTACACTGTGCCTAAAACATCCACTAAACCAGCAGTCTTCAACCCGTTTTGTACCAAGG